TGGCTGACCACTGGCAGAGTGGACATGAAGCCATAAAGGCCCAGACAAGCCGGGCCTGAGCCCAGGGGTTTTGCCAAGGAAAAGCACAGCTGGCCTGCAGCTGCCTGAGCAAGAAGTTCGTGCCGCCAGCAGTGTGAAGGGCCACCCCACATGGCAGCCTCCCACGGGCACACAGGGTGGAGAGCAGGGAACCAGAGGGAGCCTCGCCCAGGGACGACCGCGCCAGCAAAGAGCCACGAGGAACTGCTGAGCGTCTGTGATAACCCCTCTGATGACGTCCTGCAGCCGCCCCTTGCCCACTGGAGCCCCCACAGCCCCGTCCAACGGGCTCTCCTGGCTCATCTGCTCTCAGCGTCGCTTCTACGTCACGCCGCTTTCCTGCCCCACCTGCCTCCAGCCAGCTTTCACGGGCCCTCCAACATCTGTTAACACAACAGTCGCTGCCTGTTCGGAGGCGGCTCGGGGACTCAGTGTGTGGGCAGTGGCAGTCAATCAAGCCTCTGTCTCGACATCCCGACCGACCCCTCCTCACAAATGTCTCCTTCTGTTTGAAGCACTGTTGAGAAATACAATTTGTTGCTCTTTCAAGCTGACCAGCTTGGAGTTAAAAATACAGCGAGAACCGTGACAGCCAGGGGCACGCCATTCAGCGGCTAATCTTGAATTGCTGCTTTTTCTGAAATCTTTGCTCACACACATGCAAACCATGTCTAAATGGCCACGCACAGCTCAGGTCCCACTGGGATCAACCACTGCTTGGTGGTCAAAACAGGTCTCAAAAAAGCAATAACTTGTCATGTCAGCAAAAGTCCTGCTAATAAACAACTCATGTACTCAGGCTAGGCCTTCGATGGCGCAAGCACCGTCATTTTGCAAAAGGGAGGCTGCGGCTTCACATAAAATACCAGGCAGAAGGGGCCTCGACCGAGCGCATGAGGAAAGCTGCACGGAGAGGTCTGCAGGACCAGACCTGGCAGGATGGGGCCGGCCTGGCCCCACGCAGCCCGCGCTGGGAACCCAGCGGCTGCAGTTACAATGACGGAGGACGGGCCTCTCTGGACCAGGTCCTGGTGTCATTCTCCTTGGGGGCCTTCTTCACAACAATCACCCTCCCTCACTCGGGACCCACATCCCTGCCCGCGAGCTGGCAATGAGGTTTTAAGGAGACACGAGCAAACACAGTCTGAAAGCAATTCGTAACCCCCCACACACTGCGTTTCAGCCTCACTCCTAGACAAGAGCCGCCGCTGCCAGCCAGCTGCACAGCTGTGCTCCGGAGACGAAGCTGGGACAGGACCAGGTATCCAGGGGAGCATCTGGGGGGCTCCCAAGGTCATTTCCACCCTAGTTTCACGGTGACAGATGTTAAGACAAGAACGCTCACACACAGCCAATCTCTGGCAATGGTGATTCTGATTCTGTCACCATGTCCCAACCCTCAGGTCTGGTCACGGAGCTCACCGCAGGCTGAGCTGAAACGCAGTGCAGGCCTCCTCCCCTTTTCAAAAGAAAAGGTCAAGGCAAGAAGAGGAACAAACAAGAAGTAAATGGCAAGGACAGAAAAGGGAGGGTAAAACCAGAACAAAAAAGATGGACAAATAAAGAAAAAGGGGAGTCCTTAAATGGACTGAGTGTGCCTCCTGGGTTCTGCCTCTGCAGTCACCCAGAATGAGTCCACGTCTTCCCACCCAAACACTACAATTGTGATGATACTATGTCAGCACTCACCGCGTGATGTGTGTGTGTGGTTACACACACACACACACACACATATATCAATATATATGTATGTGTGTCTACACACATACTTTTATACACACATCTCTGTATGTAGCAACACACATACCTACATGGATGCACACACACATACATTCACACATTATGCGCGTACACACAGACACATTACTTCCCTTACTGCTCCCAACAGTCCTATGTTGATGGTGGTGGTGGTGGTATTTGCTGCAATTTGCCCAAGGCTGCCAGCCTCCCGCCCCATCCCTGGAGGCCTGATGTGATGTACCCACCGAGTGTGGATCTAAAAGCAGACACCATGTTCCAGAAGGGCCTGTTTCCGCTGGAGGGGCTGGAATGAATAAGGCCCAAGGTCTCATCTGCCTCTGACACCCTCTGCTGCCAGCTCCGCGTCTGTAGCTCAGGCAGTGCTCCACCCCGGACGCCTGATCCTACTATACGCACGTGGGTGTGCACAAAGGCAGGGCCTGGACCTCAGAGCTGTCTGTCCTCTCTTGCTGGCCTGACTCTCTTGGGCTCTCTCTCTGGTCCCTTTACTGCTGATAGTTTGGAGGGGCTCTGGCTGCCATCCTTGCTCTGGGCCCCGAAGGCCCCAGCCCATCAGCACCTCCAGGGAATCGGGTTTGTCAGAACTCCCAGCCGCTCCAAAGGTCTATCTGAAGGCATTTTGCACCTTTAATCTGAGCCTGTTGTGCACAGAGAGGCTCCTTTATAAGAATGTGCAATCGAAATCCCCTCCCCCAAAATAAGCGAATGCGTAAACCAAGATCAAAAGACCCATGACCCAGCACTGTTCCCATTCCCCAATTCCCCAAGAAAAGTCTTAACCAAAAAAAAAAGACCCATGAAAGACAGCCTACGATCCAGCTTGAGGCAATGATGGCGGGAAACGTGGAGGCACGAGCCTGCCTTTCCAGGGACGGGCAGACCCTGCTTACTTCCTGGCGGCCACAAAGGCAGTCACACAGTCCAAGGAGGCGAGGGTCTGTGGACAGGAAGTCCCACATCAGCTGTCATCAGGCCATGAGCAAGTGCATGGCACAAGTGACACGCCAGCTCCCAGGGTACCGGGCACAGGGCCCCGCATATTCCAGGTTGGGTCCAGGCCTCTTTTTAGATGCATGGGGGCTGACCTGGGCCTGGAAAAGCAAGGCCCACTTCCCAAGGCCATAAATCACCCAGTGGAAAGCCCGAGCAGGCAGAGCCCCATGGAGGGAGGGCTGGCTGGGGTCTGGTTGGTGGTGGGGGAAGGGGGAGTTCAGGGTCCATCCCCAGGGTGCTGGCCACAGCCCTTTGGCACACATGCTTCCCAGAGGCCCCTTCTCTCTTTCCCTGGACTCTGCCCTACCCAGGCCTTGGCCAGGAAAAGACAGGCAGAACCAGGGCGGCCTCCTCAGGATCTTGGAGGCCTGCCTGGAGCCAATGAAGCAATCTATACATCTGGGCACAGCCCCACCAAGCAATATGTTTTTAAACGGTTTCTACCCAAGTGAGGACGGGAAATGTCTCCAGTGATGCCAGCGGTGTTATTCCAACTTGTGGCTAGTAAAATATAATAACACGTGTAAGTTGTTTTTATTGCCTATCTAGCTTATTAGCTAATAAAATAAGCTCAGCATTAAAAATTTAACTGAAGCCATTTAGCACGCCCTGATCTCAGGGCTCTGGGTTTACTTCAGAAGTCACCCAAATCTGTCACCTTTCCAGCCTTTTTACCTATTTAAATTTCTCTAGAGAAGAAAAATTCCACTCATGTGTCCAACGTAAATGAAAGCATTCAATCGTTGTCTAACTGTAAAGTCCTGAGGAAAAAGAAAGGGACACACCTGGAGTGGCAATAGAAGAAATGCAAACTTGAAAATTTGGGGCAGAAGATGGCGGTGTGCCCAGGCCTCCTTTGGGACCTCCCCCAAGTGAACCCCGCAGGCACGGGGGAGGCGAGCACGTTATGGGCTTGTCCTCCGGCTGCCCCAAGCTGGGGCCTGGGCTCTTGAGCAGTGGTGGCCAGAAAGTCTGGGCTCTGAGGCCAGGTGTGTGCTCCAAGCTTTAGATCCTGCACCTCTTCTTTGGTGAGGGAGGCACTGCTAGGCTGGGAGGGGGAACTAAAGGAGAGAGAAGGAAACTCCATAAATGGAAAATGTATTTTCCTTCTAAAATGAAAGGACGCCTGCTGAAAAAGCAGCACTGGGCACTGAAGGAAGGCAGTCGTGCTGGCCTGAAGAAAAGTGGACACCATGGGCCTGCCTGCCCAGATGTTTCCACACGCTGCACGAGCACAGCCAACCCCTCCCCACCAAGCGGGCCTCCACGCCTCTCCAGCCCAGCGATGAAGGACGCTTACACAGGGTCAGGAAAGACCATGGTCAAATCACAGCACTAAGCCCCGGGAGCGTCACCTCCTACCTACACATTCAGCATCCTTGAGTGGACAGGTCACAAGGGCCAACCCTGCTCCCTGGGCCTCACCGTCACTCTCTCTTCTTCAGCCTCCCAAGTAAGAACCAAACACAGGTGGTGCTCAGGCTCAGGCACTCTCCTAATGACAGTGTATTAATTCCAAGTTTATCTCATTCAAATCAATACCCAAGATCAATGTTAGCACAAAACAGGGCTCCAAGACACAGAGGATAAAGTGCAAGTGACAGGGGCATGTGGCCCAAGGTCTTGCCTACAGTGAACACTGAGGCTGGTGACAGAGGCGGCACAGAGGGTCGTGATCAGTTTCTTGATGATCTCACATTTTTGACAGCTTAATCAAATGAGTAAGTGCCTTCTCCATCTCTCTCTCTCTCTCTCTCTCTCTCTCTCTCTCTCTCTCTCTCTCTCTAAAACCATGATGCACGGCCCCAATCTCGGTATCAGCCTAATCCAAGTGACACTGAATCCGGCCTGTGCAAGTATTTTCTTCCAGTGGCTGCAAGGAGGGCTCCTGACAGACTCCAGCACAGTGACGGAAGGAAGGGGGTCACCAGGTTTGGTGACACTGGTCTGCTGGCCAGCGCCCTGCCTCTCACCATCTGTCTACTTTTGTACCACTTGCACTGTGTTCACCGGGAGGGAACTTTTCTGTTTCAAAAGGAGAGAAACAGACACACAAAATACCCAGATTTCCTCTTTCTTTGAATAGGACTTAAAAATATAACGACATTAATTCCTGGGCGCTTCTGCGGCTGGCGCCTTACTTGCCTGGGATGGGCCAGGACCAGCCGAGGCTCCATAAGCACCTTCCATGTGGCCAGGGTTCTTACCTGTGCCATCTTGGCCAGGTCTAGGGAAGGCCTCTGCTCCTGCACCTCTTCAGGGCGCCGCCGTTTAACGCCGACCTTCTTGTCGTTAAGGACGCACGGCTGGGAGCGGCTTCGGGAGAGCCCACTGGAGCGCCTGGCCAGCTCTGGCGTCGAGGCAGGGGTGCTGCTGGCTGAGGGCACACAGTACTCTGCGAAGGAGAACTGCTCATGCGAGCAGGAGAGCGACCGCTGCATGTCAAGCCGGCCCCCTCCCACGGGATTCAGGTCGGGGCTCCAAATGTCGCCCGCCTGTCCACAGGTGGCCGAGCCGGGCGCCCCTTGGCAGGGCTGGCCTCCAAACCGGTGGTGAAATCCCGCTGGGTCGTAGGGTGAGGACAGCACATTGGCCCGGGAGGGGAGGCTGAAGCTGGAACTGCGCTGCATGGTGCCGAAGCCGCTGGAGTAGCGCTGGACGCTGCCCCCGCTGTAGCACCGCCGCTTTTCCACCGGAGTCCACACTTTGGACCCCAAGGGCCGCCATGATGTCCGGCAGCTGGACATTTCATCGGAGAAGGACAGTGACCGGCACTGGCGCTTGCTGGGGGGTGCTGAGGGGTTCCCATTGTGGTCGCTGAGGCTGAGGTCTTTGATCAGGTTGGTCACCGCGCAGGCGGTCGCTGCCTCCCGGTGCCACAGAGCGCCATCCTGACACTTCTCAGGGAGGCATTCCCAGATGCTGGCACTCGGCTGGTCAATCTGAAGAGGGCACTTCCTGTCCAGGTCTCGCCATCTGTCATTTTCTGGTTCGTAAATGACAAAGAGAAAATAGGATTTGAGAAGCCCTTCGTGCCAGTCCTATCTCCTCACCAAAAGCCCACTTTAGACAGGCTTTCGGAGCCAGAAAGGCCCTTAAAAACCATCCACTCCAACCTCACTTTACAGAGAAGAAACTGAGGCTCAGAGAGGGGAGGTAAGTCCCAGGTGTTGACCTAGAAGCAGAGTGAGGCCTAGAATCCAGGTATCCCCTGGAATCCTAATACGGTTTTCTTCCACATACTGTATTGCCTCCCAGGAAACCCCAAAGCAGTACTTGTCACCAAAAATGCTTTTCTCGTTTTATAGATGGGAAACCAACCTGCCCCGCCTGCACCCTGGCGGGAGCAGTCAGGCAACGCGTCTGCTACGTCCTGTCTCCCTGCTCTGTGGCTCTTGGGCTGGGACTAGTTGCCCTGGCAGAAGACCATGACTGAGATGAGTCTTTTGGTGCTTCAGAGGGTCAAGGTTAATGGGAGTGGGGGTGCTGCCGGGTTCTACATCTGAATTCCATCTTTAAAATACTTGCTGGTAACAGGAACTGGGTATTTTATTGGTTTATGTCCCCTCCGCCAAAACGTTCCACAACATCAACAAAAACAGCTGCCAATCACTGAGCCCTTTCCTTGTGTTCACATGATTTCACGCTGAAATCAAGGATATTTAAAGCAGTTTACATCTATAGGACCAAGTCTCGGGCTACAGAGACCTAAGGGCACAATTTAAACTTACATATCAGGTCTCTACTTGAACGCATGAATAAATAAGCTAATCCTGCCATGAAATGCTAACTTCGTGCTTGAACCTTTATTTTAGTGAAATATTCAAGAACTATTTGTTATTTTTCTACTATGGAGTCAGGCACTGTGTTGAGAGTTTTAGGACAGCAAAGAAAAGCTTGACATTGTCCTGTACTCAAGTTTATAATACAAAAGCCAACTTAAGAGATATGTTGTGCTGCCAGGGATCATCAACATGATAGCATGTTTCAATTTTTTCCTAATCTACATATATTTATAAACCGCGCAAATGTGAACATAGGGAAAACTGTGGCTTGAGTCAGTAAGTCAGTAGAAGGATGAAAGTAAAAATGGAAAGGATCTTCAGTAGGTATTTAAAGCATACCGATTCTCACACACTGCCACCAATTACTGCGCATCATGGTGGGCGCTGTAACCCACACAGAGCCCTACCGATGGCTACCATCACTGCCCAGATGGGGAGACTGAGGCTTGGGGGGGGTTGAGGAAGTGCCCGTGGGCCACACGGCTAACAGGATGCAAACACAGGCTGGCTCATGCGCTCTTCATTACACCACGGCGCTGAGGGAAGCCTGACATTGGCCCTGCCCTCAAGGAGTTTAGGAGTCATACAAGGTGGACCTTATGCTAAGAAAATATTGACGTAACCTACGTGAGTGCTCGGGGCCGCAAGCACTACACATCCGTCTCCTCTACAAGGGGCTACTTCTCAAAGGGCACGGAGGGACACCCGAGGGGCTGACCCCATGCTGAGTGTCTCAGGTAGCACTTATCTGACAGGTTCAAAGGCAATGACCTCTGAGGCCCAAAAGCAGCTTCGTGAGCCAGAGGTCAGCCCAAATCAGGGCTGTGTGCCACTCCTTCGTCTAGGGCACCCTGCCATGTCATGAGACACAGAGCCTGAGGGCCTGGGACCCTGGGCTGGCACACAGCTGGGACAACCTGCAGAGGCTGTCACCACGACAGAGTCTCAGAAACTGGGGATGCCCAGTTAGGCCAGTGGGAACAGTGTGGGACGGTGGCTGAATGTCCAGCTCATCACATCCTGGAATCTTCCCAGGCCCCAAAGGACAGCAAGTGTCGACGCCTGTTCCTTTAACTGAATTTGATAAATTATCACCAAAAATCACCTTTCTGCAAGTAACATTTATGCTGCTTACCATGTCCTCACTACCCACTACCGCTCTAGTCACCGTTCTTTTAAAGCAGTTTTAATTCACCATGTCAGCTGTTGCAAGTTCAGTAAACTAATAATAAAAATGAAAAGAAATACAAACTAACACTGACTGAGTCACAACCATCTGTTATCTGATTTAAAAGAACTGTTATCCTCAAAAAAAAAAAAAGTGGAGATTTATGTGTGATGATGCTCTTCAAATAGGACTGATAGCAAAATGGGAAACAGCACTAAAATACCCTACAGTAGGGGGCTGGTTAAATAAATTGTCAAGGAATAACATGGAACATGAAAAAAGCAGTTTCAGAGAATATTAATGATGTGGGGAAATGTTAATGATGTAATGCTAGGCATAAAGAAACAGGATATAAAACTGTATAGACAGCATGATTCTGATTTAGTAAAAGATGTATATTACCCGTGGAGATAAAAGTGAACCGAAAGGTTCCGAGTCGACTGGCAGACAGCTGGGGATTTATATTTTCTCCTTTTTGTTTTCCCAGTTTCTACGTTCTCTGTAAGGACAAATGTGATCTCCAAATACATGTGGGATGTGACCACCAAGCCCCTGAGACTGGGCCAGAGTCAGGGCCCGGGCCTGAGACCCCGTCCTCCTCTGGGTTTGCTGCTTTGTCTTTCAGGAAGTTCCCGGAGAAAAGAGAAGCTGGCCGTCAACTTCTCTTTGGGGACAAGGCACTGAGGCGCCAGATGGGCCAGGAATGTGCCTGACTGAGGAAGGAACCGGGGGGACCCCGCCCCAGAGCAGCGAGGGCCCCAAGATGGCACCACGGTGGCCCCTGCTTCACTTCGCGGGTTTCCCAGGCCTCGGGAAATGAAAAGGGATTGGTCCCAACCTCAGAGGACACCACTTTCTGTTGCACTTTTACTTCACTGCCCTGGAATTTTCCTGGCCCTAGGGGAATCGTGAGGAGAAAGGGGAACTGGGAGCCAGGTAAGCAGGACCATTCTGCCCTCTCATCTGGCAGAGCTGTTCCCTTCATGGCCGCCGCGTGGCCTCGGCGCTTCTGGACTGGCCCCCTCTGGCCTCCCCACCCAGTCCCACCTCCCTGCGGCCTCCAGGGGACTTTCTGAGGCCCACACCACCTATTGTGGTCCATGTCCTTCAGCAGCTGCCCGCTGCCTAGCAGGAAGAATGTAACCACTTCACCTTGCCCGCCCTGCCCT